GTAATCCCAGCTATGCAGGAGGCTGAGGCAGAGAATTGCTTGAACCAGGGAGGTGGAGGTTGCAGTGAGCCGAGATTGCGCCACTGTACTCCAGCCTGGGAGACAGAGCGAGACTCTGTCTCAAAAAAAAAAGAGTAGTGTTAGCTGTAGAGTTTCGTCTTGTTTTGTGGCGTTTGTTTTGATGCTGTTGTTTTGAGACAGGCTTGCTCTGTCGCCCAGGCTGGAGTGCAGCGGCCGATCATGGCTCACTGCAGCCTCCTCTTCCTGGGCTCAAATAATCCTCCTTTCTCAGCCTCCCAAGCAGCTGGGACAACAGGCATGTGTCACCACACCCAGCTATTTATTTATTTTTATTTATTTACTTATTGGTGAGATGCGGTCTCGCCGTGTTGCCCAGGCTGATCTGGAACTCCTGGCTTCAAGCAGTCATTCTTCCTTGGCTTCCCAAAGTGCTGGGATTACAGGTGGGATCCGCTGCTCCCTTCCTGGCTGGAGATTTTTATTTTATTTTTCTATTTATTTATTTATTTGAGATGGAGTTTCAGTTTTGTTGCCCAGGCTGGAGTGCAATAGCACGATCTTGGTTCACTGCAACCTCCGCCTCCCAGGTTCAAGCGATACTCCTGCCTCGGCCTCCCAAGTAGCTGGGATTACAGGCGCATGCCACCAGGCCTGGCTAATTTTTGTATTTTTGGTAGAGATGGGGTTTCACCATGTTGGCCAGGCTGGTCTCGAACTCTGGCCTCAAGTGATCCGCCTGCCTCTGCCTCTCAAAGTGCTGGAGGTATAGGCGTGAGCCCCCACGCCAGGCCCAGCGTATGCTGTTTCTCTCCATTCATCCCTTCCTTACCAGCATGGTGCAGGGCCAGGGGTCCTCCTGCCTGCCAGACCACAGAGAGGGGGCACTGCCCACTGCCCGGCTGCCCGCTCTGGTCTTGGGTTGAGCCACGGCTGGATTCCTGTGATTTGGAATGACAGGGACAGAAGGGTAGAGATTCCCGAGCCAGATGTGGGTCAGGGGAGGAGACTACACCATCTTGCTCTGATGCTGCGGGCTTGTTGTCATGGAAACCAAAGCCACTCTCTTTAGGAAGGACCCATTAAAGTGCAGGAAATAATCAAGGCTCTCTCTGGCAGCTCCCCGCCCTCCCTGGTGGGAGACAATCACCGTTTGAGCCCTTGGGCGTGCCGTGTTAAGTTCTGCCCTCCTCCCTCACTTGCCTCCCTGCAGGAAAAGTCTCTGAAACACACGCAAGGGAGCCAGCCAGGTGTCAGAGAGGACCCTCAAGGTTTCTGAACTGTCCCCTGCCCAAACCTGAGGCTTCAGTTCCAGCTGCAGCTGGGGATGTTTTACTGGGTGACCGTCACAAGCTCCTGTCTGCGTCCTCGCATCTTCCCCTGGGAAAATGACAGAGATACGTTATAATTGCCACGTTGTCTCTGAATACCAAACTATTAGAGGGATAGAAGCTACGGATTCAACTTGCAGACATTGGATCAGACTGCCTGGATTGGGTGGGGTGCGGTGGTTCACCCCCATAATCCCAGCACTTTGGGAGGCCGAGGCAGGTATATCACTTGAGGTCAGGAGTTCAAGACCAGCCTGCTCAACATGGTGAAACCCCGTCTCTACTAAGAATACAGAAATTAGCCAAGCATGTGGTGGGTGCCTGTAAACCCAGCTACTTGGGAGACTGAGGCAGAGAATGGCTTGAACCCGGGAGGCAGAGGGTGCAGTGAGCCGAGATCGTACCACTGCACTCCACCCTGGGTGACAGAGTCAGACTTTGTCTTAAAAATAATAATAATTGCTACATTGTCTCTCTGAATACCAAACTGTTAAAGGGATGGAAGGTAGGGATTCAGTTTGCAGACCCTAGATGAAACTGCCTGGAGTGAAATCCTGGCTAAGCCACCAGCAGCTGTGCAACCTCAAGCAACTTGCTTGACCTCTCTGGGCCTCAGTTTCCTCTCCTGCAAAATGGGGTGCAATAAGACTACCAACCTCACAGAAGATCATGTATCTAAAGCCATCAGTGTCTGGATAAGGAAAACGTAGTATATCCATGCAATGGAATATAACTCAGCCATGAAAAGGAATGACGCTCTGACACAGGCTACAAGAACCTTGAGGACGTCCGGCTCAGTGAGAGAAGTTAGATGCAAAAGGCCGCACAATGTGTGATCCCATTTCTACGACATGTCGGAACAGGTCAATCCAGAGAGAAAGAAATCAGATAAATGGTTGCCAGGGCCTGGGGTGTGGGGAGAAGAATGTTTCTTTTTTTTTTTGAAATGAAGTCTCGCTGTGTTGCTCAGGCTGGGGTGCAGTGGCAGAATCTCAGCTCACTGCAACCTCTGCCTTCCTGGTTCAAGCAATCCTCCCATCTCAGCCTCCCAAGTAGCTGAGGCATGGTATGTGCCACCGTGCCCAGCTAATTTTTGTATTTTTAGGAGATCTGGGGTTTCGCTACGTTGGCCAGGCTGGTCTCAAACTCCTGATCTCAGGTGATCCACCCACCTTGGTCTCCCAAAGTGCTGGGATTACAGGCCTGAACCACCATGCCTGACCTCCTCTTTCTTTTTTACAGAGAGGAGTCTTACTAGGTTGCCCACACTAGTCTCAAACTCCTGACCTCAAGCCATCGACCCACATCAGCCTCCCAAGTAGCTAGGATGGCAGGACACGAGGCATTACACCTGGCTAACCTGTGGGTTCTGACACTTACCTCTAGGGGATTAAAATCATAATTTAATTGCTCTGTGGCCAGGGTAGAAGGGGATCTCTCTCACACATTTTTTTTCCTTTTTTTTCTTTTTTTTTTTTTTTGTGAGACAGAGTCTTGCTCTGTCACCCAGGCTAGAGTGCAGTGGTATGATCTTGGCTCACTGCAACCTCCATGTCCTGGGTTCAAGCAATTCTCCTGCCTAAGCCTCCCAGAGTAGCTGGGATTACAGGCATGTGCCACCACGCCTGGCTAATTTTTAGTATTTTTAGTAGAGATGGGGTTTCACCATGTTAGCCAGGATGGTCTTGATCTCCTGATCTCATAATCTGCCTGCCTTGGCCTTCCAAAGTGCTGGGATTACAGGGTGAGCCATTGTGCCAGCCTTTTTTTTGTTTTGTTTTGAGATGAGGTCTCGCTCTGTCACCCAGGCTGTAGTGCAGTGGCTCGATCTCGGCTCACTGCAACCTCCACCTCCCAAGCTCAGGTGATCCTCTCACCTCAGCCTCCTGAGAAGCTGGGACTACAGGCTCGTGACACCATGTTTGGCAATTTTTTTTCTTTGTTTTGTATTTTTGGTAGAGATGGGGTTTCACCATGTTGGCCAGGCTGGTCCCAAATTCCTGAGCTCAAGCAATCTGCCTGCCTCGGCCTCCCAAAGTGCTGGGATTGCAGGCATGAGCCACCGCACCCAGCCTCTCTCACGTATTTTTTTTTTTTTTTGAGACGGAGTTTCGCTCTTGTTACCCAGGCTGGAGTGCA